CCTTGAGGAATATATAAGAAAGCAAATAAACAAGAAGACAGCAATCAACAAAGGTTGAACAAGAGCAGGAAATGCGAAAATACAGACAGAATATACAGAAGCGAACAAGTGAGTAAGGAGTAAGTAGTGGTAGTAGTAGTAGTAGTATTAGTAGAGCCGACAATTAGGAATATGTAGAAGACCTAGTAATGACAGTGGGAAAATGAGCAAGTGTATGGAATATGTGGCACAACGAAGAATAAATTAGGGAGATATAGTGAACCAGAGAGACCAGTGAATGACAAAGAAGTCAAGACAATCACTGAAATCCAACAACAGACGAACAGATGGGTAGAACACTTTGCGAAACTGTTGAGTAGACCAGCTCCACTGAACACACCAACACCGAAGCAACATACACAGACATTCTCATAGGTGCCACTCCATCAACAAACGAAGAAACCAGCATTGTCATCGGACAGATCAAGTTTGGATAGTTGGTAGTACCAGACAACATAACAGCTGAATCAATGAAATTATGCATAGAATTAAATGCAAAGGTGATTTAGGTTCTCTTCAACAAGAATAGGGAGGAACAAATAGAGCAGAATGGAAAGAATGATAACTCATCAACATACCAATGAAAGGAGATATGAGCGAGTGTGAGAACTACACAGGCATCACACTACAGTCAGTACCAGGAAAGGTTTTCAACGGAGTGTTGTTGAACTGGATGAAAGATTCAGTAGACGCACAAATTCATGATCAATAGGTTGGATTTCGTGAGGATTGATCGTGCACAGAGCAATTTGTGACACTACAAATCATTGCTGAGCAATCGATTGAATGGAACTCGTCACTATACATCAACATCCTTGACTATGAGAAAGCATTTAACAGCGTGGATAGGAGATAACTATAGAATCTTCCTCGACATTATTATATATGTGAGGAGATCATCAACATCATATGCAATTCATTAGATACAATATCGTGCTGTCAGTGCACCTCACATTTGCATTGCAGTTGAGGGTAAGTGTCAGTCAAGACTGCTTAATCTCATTCTCTCTATTTCTTCTAGTGGTCAACCAGATTATATAGGCCCACACATGTAAGAGAAGTAAGGAATACAATGAACAGCCTGGATGCAACTTGTAGTGTCAGTTATTATGTTAAGCCCATTCATTCTACTTGATCCATACTTTGACCTTGTTATATATTCGCTTATCAATCTAGACTTTTTATATGAGCGCATATGTGTGTGCCCTTCTTATCCCATTAATCACATGTCTATAGCTTCATTTTGTCTGGCTATAAATATTGAGTAATGCTTGACTAAAGGCGAGTTGGCTTACCAGCCATCTCTACTGCGCATCATTTTTACTTGGCTTCACCATGTACTCGGTTGCTGTGCGCTTGCGGATTTTTATTAATCATTAACAATAAATTATCTCTACAACTGGTGTTCGGGCTTTTGAATAATCTCGCGTAAAATCCATAATTCTACCAGGAGATTTAGCCTGCATTAAATACTCAGTTTACGGGATATTATTTATTGGAGTCAGAAATAGAGGACATTAGCCTCAACATATTGGTGAGCCGCCGTTTCATCAAACTTCACAGATGCAATACAGAGTAACAATAACAGGTGAAAACAGTTGACATAGCAGCAGCCTGTACAACAGTAGTCCTCAATATACACGAAGATAAATGCATGATCCTGAAATACAACACGGAGAACGTCAACTCAATTTTACTTAATTTGAAAGCTCCGAAACATGTAGAAACTTTCACGTATCTGGTCAGCATCATTGATGAACGGGAATGATTCGATGTAGATATAAACGTAAGGCTAGGCAAATCAAGAAGAACACATGGAACCCAAAATAACTGTCAATCAATATCAAAGTCATAATCTTCAATACTAACGTCATGACAGTTCTACTGTATGGAGCTGAAACTTGGAGAACTGCCACAACTACCATCACAAAGGTACAAGTATTTATAAACAATCGTCTACGTATATTACTGAGTGTCCGTTGACCGGATACCATCAACAACAGCCTACTGCGGAAGAGAACAAACCAGGTTCCAGATGAAGAAGAAATTAAGAAGGTACGTTGAAGGTGGATAGAACATATCTCACTGGAATCATCACTTCGAATCGGGAAGGAAGTCATAACTTGGAATAATGAAGTTAAAAGGAAAAGTTGAAGACCAAGGAATACAATGAGTCTAGAACTGGAGATAGACATGAAAATGAGTAGCGATTGACAGTAGTCGAACGGGGGAGTCTGGGAAGATGTAGTTGTGATAATCCTGGTCGGTGGCCTACAATCTTTGAGAGTTAAAACGATTAGATAACTGTTACACTTCCAGGACTGAAACCATAAGCCAAAACTTTTCTGTTAGTACTTTATTATTATGAGAAATAAATAAAAGATCATGAATTTACAGATGCCTAAAGCCGAATTCTCTTTATCCTATCGACACATCCGAAAGTACGCCCAAACAGTCAGTAAGTTTCTAAGCTGACTGAATGTTGGTAAAATTAAAATGTCTAGAAGATATGACGGGGATTAACGGGAATTTATAATATACTGTGTTTCAGGAAAAGAAAGGTCGGTTTGAATGGGATTATACGAAGTATTGAACGATGAAGGATGGAAAAAACTATTCAATTGTAGAACTGATACCATAATCGCATGAGATTATAGAGTAATTGCTGCAAGTTATGTAGCTAGTAGAAGTACTTCAGGTATATATATAGACAAATAAAACATAAACTACTGTTCATTTGTTAGTAGTACAGCGACCAATCAAAAAACAACCTAAGAGGGATTAAAGTTAGCTTCTAAAAAAACCAGTTCTTATCACAATTCTTGTAATTTATTTTATATTTTAATACTATTCTGCTCAACATTAGAGGCTACGTAAGGAGAATTTTTCCTGGTATTCCGATTGTTGGGACATGTTCATTCAGTCCTGATTCTTACTATGTGAAGTAACTGATAGATGGATGCTTCTTACGAATTCGCCCATTTATTGTAAGTAGAAAATCATCGTGATCAATTTCACATCACTGGTATAATTTATGGTAAAGACTGAAACAAACGACAGTTAGTGAGACTATAAGGACCAGTGATTTTCGTTTACTAAAATATTCTACACAGTATCTAATAAAGTATGCAATGCAGTGAAAGTCTCAAATCTTAAACATCTGTACGAACACATCAGTCCTCAAATATTTACTGATAAGAATGAACCACGCTTGCTTTTGTCACTGAATTAAACAGTAGTATGGTCTATACTTCAAACAATGGAATTATCATAAATTAGAAACTAATTTCTGAAAAGCTGACTAATCTTAATGTGGGACCGAAATCCAATAATAAGTCATCAGTAGCTTCACTGATATAACTGCTTACCGTAGATAAAAAATTTTCTCACTAGCTAGTGGCAAGAATTCGGACTCGTAAGATTCTGATTTTAATACTCGTTTAATTACATTGGAAATATTTTGTTACTTCAAGTAATCTTAATAGAAAATTCACTTTGTTGTTGGATAAATCAACTAATAGGACTTTGTTCATTTAACCGTTCTTTCTTATTTTTAGTAAGGAATTTGCCATAGTTGACCACTATCACAGATCATAGATGTATTTGATTAGGTTACATACTGTAAATATTTATAAAGTTGTGGTCTTTCAAGCTTGTTGATTAAATATTTTGATACCTACTAAGAAATAATATTCAATGTGAGTTCATGAGAAAACGCTATTATTAGACTGTATTTTCTAAATAAATGAAGGGAAGTCATGGTGACTTGTACTCAAATGAAAACATTTACTTGGTCAAATCGAATTGGGTTGCCATGATATTAATGGCTTAGCAATTCCACTGATCCTAAGAGATAGTGGATAATTAATTTAAACATTGAGTTACTTAAGGAAAGAGTATGAATTCAAGAGACTGAATGATCAGGTTTAAAATAATGGTCGATGTCCCAAATAAGGTGAAATGGTAGCTATCAGTGTTGAACTTATAGAAACACACAACTAGTTCAGTAATTTCATAAAATGTATGTAAAGTGACTACAACTTCATAGACAATCGGTTTACTCTTTCATTAAATTCGATTATACGAAGCATTTATCCATTGAAGTTATATCTACAACAGTTTTTGGCTTCATATCTGAGAATGATAATAACAAAATGCTGCAAACAACTGTTAACATATAATATAATTTCAGCTTTCGGTTAGTCAAACGATAGAACATCTTTTTCCATAGAAGATAGATATTTTAAATTGGGATACCTAAGCGCTTTTGAGTATAGAATTCGAAGCAACCTTACGCTTCTACGAGCTAGATCGAATACCATTATAAACATATGTACATCTAAAAATGTATTTGCCATTCTTAACAATAACGCAAAACCATAAAATGATTTGAAAAGTCAAGAATTACCCTAACAAAAAATTATGAAAAGTTTACCTCACAACAAAATGAATATTTACCATTTAAAATCCACTTCAAAGTATAATCAAAACGCTTATAAGCATTTGGTAGAAAACATCAATAAAAATTTAAAAAAAACTGTAAAACGATTGTAATGACTTAACAAAACAAACAAATGAACTAAATGTAAAGAATTTTTTTTAAAAAAGAGTCGAATATTTCAAGGAATAGATGCTTTTATTATGTTGAATTTTGAACAAATTAATTAATTTAGTAATAATAATAATAACAGTAATAATAACAATCCCTAGTAACTCTTATACCTAAACATTTTTAAATAGCTGTAATATGTTGTTGTCAATGTATTTCAATCTTATTCATTACTATTAATGTTACTGTTTGTTTGGAAAAAAATAAAATAAAAGGACTTCTTTTGAACTTTTAAAAATATTATTTTGAAAGTTTATTATTTCTAGAATTTTATTCGAAAAATTTGATCAATATAGAATCTAACATATTTATCGATGGTAGTAGTAGTAGTAGTAGTATATTATTATTTTTTTTAACGTGATGTAGTATTGAATTGGGTGAAATAATGACCAGTTGGTTGATTTGTATATAGCTGAAAAATGATTACAATTAAAAAATATGGAAAATAATGAGTAATTTAGTTAAAACAAACATGATAGTAATTGCATAATTTAATATTAAGATTTATGTTATAAAAATGATAGTTAATCATTACAAAATAATATTAAATAGAAAACTAGGGCATACTATACAATAATTTCATTTTGTCTGGAACTTTCCAACGATACATTTCTATGATTTTATGGATGGTCAAATCTATGGGTTTAGCTATAAAATTTTAGACTATAGAGTTGATATCAAGTGATCCATATGAACAACTTCAGCCATTTTATGTTATGAAAAGATCCTTATCTTAACATTTAGCGAATATCTATAAAACACTCAAGTTATCGTTTAATTGAACGATTTTATTGTATTGAGAATGAATTATGAGTAATCAGAAATATATCTGTATACATATACTCCTAATGTTCATACTCTTTCAGTAGTAAATTTCAACAGTTAATAAACTTTTTTTCAATTTAATAGTTGAATTCATAAGTCAATTGAAGCTAAACCACCACAGGAGACCTGGAAACACTGGATGGCGGTTTCGTCCTAGTATAAGACTCCTCAGCAGTGTGCATCCATGAATCCAACTATTAAATTACTAAAATCTCCACAAAACCCTCTTCTATAATAATCATCATGTACTCATTGGTGATTGGCTTCAATAGGTATTTCTTGGAGTTCTAGTGAGAAGCTATGACCAGTGAAGTTCAACTAGGTCTGTTGTGAGATAGTAACTCACTGAAGACAGTGGTAGACGGTGGCGCATTTTCGTGAATTGGTTGAAATTAGACATTAATACCGTTCGATGCCAGCTCAGTGATCTAATGGTTAAGCGTTCGCGCACGAGATTGATGGGTCCTTGGTTCGAATCCCACAGGGCGGGATCGTGGATGTGCGCTACTGAGGAGTCCCATGCTAGGATAAAACGGCCTTCCAGTGCTTACTGGTTTCCTATGGTAGTCTAGCATTAACTGACGCATGAATTCAACTATTAAATTACTAAAATCTCCACAAAACCCTCTTCAGAAAAAATATTGCTGAATAGGTTATGAATATACTTTGTAGGAAGTAAATCGTTTTATCCATAGATAATAAGGTTTAACTGACTATACAAAAAAATCATCAGCAAAATTGATTATATTGAAATGACCTAAATAAAACACTTTAATTGTATAAATCTTAATATTTCATGTTTACTTAGTAATTATTCCTTAAAAACTATAGAACAGAAACTTGTAAGTATATCTAATACCAGTGCTATTATGTGTCCTCTTAAATTAAAATGATAATATATCATCTCTCTGATCACATGCTAATAAAAGGAAAAAATGTTTGCCTTTTATTTTTGCATCTTTTCTGCATTTTTCCATCTAAAAGTATTAATTTTAAACTTATATACATTTAATGCCTTGTTTTAGAAATTTACAGGGTTATATATATATATATATATATATTATTTTTCGATGTTATATGACAAGTGAAACAGTTTCACATTTAAAAGAACTCAATGTAAAACAAACAGACATTCTTATAAGTAATAAATTTAGATAAATGTAAGAGAATCTTGATCATTCGGGAATGATAACATTAACTTAAATCTTTAATTTGGCTTGAAATAAAAATGAATATAAAATCATCAGGAAAATTGTTTGTCAAATGCGTTTATTTTTACATTCGCCTTTATTTTTTATTTTCATAAAGTTGAATTAAGTTAAAAGATCAATACTTTGGTTACTAACGTAATCTGACGTTTATAGGATAAATATTCATGAAACCCATTTTAAACTGAGGTATACTGGTTGTAATTCTTTAGTGATATATATATATATATATATATATATATATATTATGCTTGAAATCTTTTTTCTCAACACTATTTGTCATTTAATTCACCTTGTAGGCTTTTAAATGTTTCTCTTCCAAGTTCATTCATAATACATATCTTAATATTTAATTTATTTTTGGTCATACATTTTAACACCAATTGTCTGATACAACCGAAAGATTTATAACGGGAAAATTTAAAACGTTTTGCATTGTTCTGTTTCTCATTTTGTTTGATTTATATACCTTGATTTAACTATCATTTCATTTTAAATCTAGATTTTTCATTTAAAATGATATTAAGGTGTTCAACAAAGTCACTAAAATATTCCATCTAACAGAAAAAAACAATCGCACAAGATTTTATATAAGTGCGATATATCGCTTCAAGTTACTTTTTTGCACCAGAGCAAGAAAAGAAAATCAACGACAACGACTTGAAATAAAATTAATGATGATAGAGAATATAATTAGTTCGGTATAAAGGAAATCAAAGAGTGGTAATGGCGAAATAATATTCAAATATAGGAGTTTGAGGGTGATGATTGATAAAAATTGTACTAGTAACATAATATTTCAACCGTGTAACATAAGGCCTTTAATCAAAGAGGAGGATCACCTCTCGAGACTCAATAAACGAGTCTATATTTTATGGTGCAGCTCAGACTGGAAAACAGTCATTTCACCAGTAGGTGCCGTTTTGTTTTTTGGTCAGCAGAAGTCCTTTTTTAACTGATTACTGTGATAAAAATCAAAACAAAAAAATCATGATGATGGTTACTTAGGCAGCCATAGATAAAAATAATCTTATTATCAATGTTTTATAACTTTGAATTGAAGGGAAGATAATTTTATATGCACTAAAAAACGACTTCACAACTTACTTCTTTGTTCAAGTAATCTTGAAAAGCTTTCTGTTCATGAGCTAGCTGGAGATTTTTTTCAGCTACTTTTCGATTTATTTCACGTGTGGATCGTTCAATTTCTCTTTCTATTAACAAGCCTAGTCTAGATGATTTTAATAGTTGATTATCCCATTCTTCATCTTCTTGCTTTTGTCTTGCTAACTGACGCTTCAATTAACAAATAAATAAACATAAGATGTGTTCATTAGATGTTGGTCTAATTTATTGAGTACTGTATACCAATAACTCGTTTGTAGACTGATAACTTTCAGGCGACGGTCATGTTTCATGTAAAAACTCGAATGCAAATCCATAATAAATGTAATAAATTTAAAGTAACAAATAATTAACTAGTAAATGGGAGAATCCACAAATTTTACTTATTTTTATCTCGAAATGGTCATTGTTTAAATTGACTAACTAACTAACTTGAAAACTTATTATTTTAAAACATTTTCAGCAACATTAATCTTCTGTGCTTATCAGGAGGATAAGTTAAAAATTCATTTTCGCGTTGATAACCATGATGACCTAATGTTTTATCTGATTTTTGTTCTAAAGAATGATCTTTAAGAATGAGAAATTTAATAATTTTAAGTTCTTTTATTTACATTAACAGTTACAGACGGCTAATATCAACAGGATATTTGTAAGTTGTAACAGTAAAATATACTTGAATTTGTTGAAATAATATTGCGTGAAAAATGAATGAAACGTTATCTGATATATTTCTTAAATTTTGTGCCGTTTCGTTTTTGTTTGTGACCAAAGCAATCTCTATTTACCTTTATTTTAACGAATAAAAATAATTTTGTCATTAAATGCACAACATAATGCATAATATTTAGCCATTTTCTCACTAGGTTGTGCTGAGCAAACGCGCATCCTCAATGCTTATAACCAGTAAACTTCCTAAAGCGATGTGTTAGAAAACCTATATGAACGTTTGGTTGAATTTTGAATGCTTTAAACTCAATATTACTGCTAACCAATCTGATACCTCTCTTTCTTTCATTTGCTCCTCCTGAAATTTACGAATATCTTTTATTTGTTCAAGTGTCATTCCTTTGTAACGGTCAGGAATTATTCGATTAGTTCCAAAAGCAGATATTGCTTGAGCAGGATTCTCGCTAAGGAAATCACCATATATTGCATTGCATATCTCTGTCATATTGTCATCTTCTGTTTGTTTGGCTTTTAGAAGAGCTTTTTGGTCACTTTCTTCTTTTAGTAATTTGTTATATCTCTGCATGGCTACATTTATTGCTCGTCGGCATTGTTCCTCAGCTTTTTGAAGTTCACATGCACGTTGATCTAATTCTCTTCTTTTAAGATCATACAATCTAGGTGTTTTCGAAATTCAGATGAAAAAAATTAAAACATTTCAAAATAAGAATCACCTTACTAAAAATAGAAATGACCAAGTAGTTCTGCTCATATTTCAACTAATATTCATTCAATAACGTGTTCCTTACTTCTGCTGCGTAAAATAGGCGAAAATGTAGTAGGTTCTAGTTTATTTGCGGTTAATTTAAGCCAGTGATATACAAGTCAGAAGAGAGTAAACACCCAGTTTTCATGCTTGATGAATGCATATCTAATAGTCTATTGACAAATATAAAGAATTGGTTATCAGACGGTCTTGTAATTAAGCAAAGTGAAATTGTACACCGTTGATACTAGGCTATATAATACTGAAAATCAAAATGTTTCAGATTATCTGCTTACATATGTAGGCTTAACAAGCAGGAAACTCTATAGCAACGCACATGTTTGTGGGCATTCAAATAAGTGGTGGCGAAGCAGTTAATTTGATAATGTCTGTTGATGAAATAATTTCTATGAATAACCATCGACAAACTGTATCCGCACAAAGAGTTTTTTTGGTAATTGCTATTGGTTATCAATTTTAATTATTACGTTTTCAGAGTAACTACAACTTATTTCACAAAAAGCAGCCGGGTAAACTGTTGTCGAACTTAGATTTTCTAATTAAATGCTTTTTATATTACCAAGGGCTGGGGTCCCCAAAATCAAAAGTACTTATTAGTTCATCTTTTGTTTGGCTTCCTGTCACCGATAAAGTTTTCAGAGAGAAGAGCTAAAACAACCTGAATACTGCAGTATTATAAGGCATTATAACACAAGTGCAAGACGAACTGATTAAATTTTACATGTATGAAATAAGACTACCTGAGATGTTAAACTGATAAAACAAAACTTAAGTGAAAAAGAGTCGAATCATCTGTTTAAAGTTGATCTTTTTTGCTCAAAATGTCACCACGCAAATGTCTTGTAAACCACTAGGAATATAAGGTTTTGCAATTGTTTTATAAGGGATGCTATTCAATTTTCAAGGCATACCAAACAAGTTGATTAATTAAATGAGTAATTCGTCGTTGATTTTACTTTTAAACGTTGCTAAATTCGTACAAAGCAAAATAATGAGTTGACAATATATATATATATATATATATATATATATATATATATATATTTCAGACAATATACGTTTCAAAAGACCTTAAACATTGAGGTCTCATGCTAACAAAACTTAGTAAATTGTTTCTTGTAGTATTCTGTAGCTGATTATAAAATGCAAAAACGAAAGAAAGCGCTTCTGGTAATAACCACTATTAATAAACATCGCTAACTACCAACAAAAAAGCGACTAGTTAGTCAAAAATTCACTTAGAATGGATTTTCATATTGTTCTGGTGCTGGAATCTGGCTTAGGCATTAGATTGACAGGCAAAGGCGACTACCTTTAAATGAGCAAGCTAGTCGTTCCGGCTGATGAAGAAAAAATCACTGAAAACATATTACTAGGCCTAAATAAATTTATATTACTGCATTTCACATTGTGAAATGTTCAGTATAGTTTGCAAGAGACATGTCAATTCCGTACGACATTATACTCATTTTGAACAAGACCCGACACAGAACGTGATCGTTGAATTCATCCAACTAACTTGTGTTGAGTCGTGTGACCGATTAAAATGCCTATACTTACGATATCTTTTGATTGTTTATCCATCTATTTATTTAACTGTTAACTATATTTCATTACTCTATTGATATATAAATATTTGGCACATGTTGATTAGGTGACACGTTGGACAGTTTGAACTCATATCAATAAAATGTCAAAGAGACGTGCATAACGTAGTCATGGATTTGTTTCTGCCCCGATACAATTGCTGGTAATTGTAGTGACAGTTTTAATATAAGTAAAATATAATTAATGAAAGATCTGCATCACAATTACTTTACTTCTGCTGCGTCGATTCAATTCTTTTGCGACTCTACTGTACGTGCCGGTTAATTTAGTTGTTTATATATATTCAAGAATATTGCTATTCGAGTTCTTATTCAGTCTTTTCGTCATCATCAATCGACTAAATGTGAAAACCATAACATAATCCTTCGTACTGAAATTATTTAATTGAAACAAGAAATAAACAGCATGCAAGAATTTGGATTTACGTTCAGATTCACTGCAAATTAACCGAAGTCAAAACACACAATACTTTCTAAATGTTCAAAATGCCTTGTGGTCCCTGGATGAATTGAGTTATATAGGTTTAATTTAGTGTTACAACAAATGTGAAAACCACTAAAATGTTGCATATCGAGGGAAAAGACTGTTAAATCTTTGCCTCTGTCTAACAGTTGTGTAGATAGTGTGAGTGGCTTATGAAAACTCATCTTCGAAACCAAACAAAATCCCTAAAAAATTATTCAATCTAAAAACTATAGTATTCTAAAAAACGACCTCAGTACAATGAAGAGAAATTTAAAAAGTTTAGTGCACAGACATATAACAAGGTCATAAAAGATCACTTTTTCCACAAAGAACTCCAAATAAGTAAAAAGCTAATAAGGAGCAATTTCAAAAAGGGCAGTGATTTTTGTACTTGTTGTGATTATACTTGCTTTTGGTACTTATTGCACTAAAAAGCATTCTTGGTCTGCTTTAACTAAGAGTTCTTTGGTTAAAGTTTGAAATTTTTTGCTACATTTTGTCCTGGGTACCTGTTTTTAGTCCTTGACTAAGACTTGTGTTCACATTGTTATCGTTTTTTGTTTTTAAACCTTTTAAATCAAATTACAATGGTTGGTAAGACTCACAAATGTGGGCAACCAAATTGTTTGTTCTCCGTTGAGGAGGGAATGCAGTGTGACGACTGTAAAAAGTGGTATCACAAAATGTGTACACGACTAAGTCCGACGGCTTACAAAAGATGCTCGAAGCCTAACTCGCATTGGCTTTGTGTGTTCTGCTGTACGGATAAAAAGGTACTAATACAGGAGGCTATGGGCCTATTGGCTTTGGCCTGCAAGAAAAACGATGGCGGAAGCACTGATAACAGGAGTACTGACGATGAAGAATGTGTCAGTGTAGTAAGTGCTGCTACTGGACCCATTAAACACCTGACTGCGGTTGACGGGATTGTGAAATCTCCGTTGACATTAACGAGAAATGAAGTGTCGCCTGATATTGACATCGGCAGTCATACACCTCTAGTCGAAATAGAAGATCAGGATAAAACTGTCACCGTTCCACATAGTCCAGGTGTGGCTGTTCTGAGTGGTTACAAATGGACTCCGGTAAGAAGAAAAAAAATAAGAAGAAAAAGGCTGTAGGCAAAACGCAGCTGGTCAGCAAGACATTGGAAGGGACTTTATCAGAAGAAAAATCCTCACCGCGTGAAAAGATAGATCTCTCTGAGAGATCAGTCATTTTTCATAAGATAAGAGAATCTTCAGACACTGAACCAAAGACAAGATTTGAACATGATCTCAATCATATTAAGACATCATTAAGTAAACTACTCCCAGATACAGTTTCAGGAGTTAGTATTTGTAAGCTTTATAGAATAGGAAAAAAGGTGGATTCCGAAAGTCCTCAGAAAAACCGCCTCCTAAAGGTTACATTCAACACGGTGGAAGAAAGGAACCTGGTTCTAAGTAATTCACGTAAATTGATTGGGTCCGGAATATATGTCCGTGAGGACCTCAACCTAGCTGATCGTATTAAGAGAAGGGCTGCAGAAGCGGAAATAAACGAGCGTCGCCGAAACGGTGAAAGAAACCTCGTTCTTAAGGGTTTTCAGATTGTAAAAGTTCGGAGCAAAACGATCCCCAAGCCACTCTGGGTGGCAAGGGAAAGCTCTCCACAGACTTAAAAGTGTACTACACAAATGCTCGCAGCCTACTAAATAAAATGGCGGAGATGAAGTCAGTGGTGGATAAAGAAAAACCGGACGTTATCGCTGTCTCGGAAACTTGGTTAACGTCAGAAGTATTAGATAGTGAAATCCAATTGACTGGTTTCATAACCAGTAGGGCTGATAGATTAAACCGAAGGGGAGGCGGGGTTATTGTGTACACGAAAAGTACCCTGACCATAAGATTAGCTGAGACAGTAGCACATGTTTCAGGGACATGTGAACTGGTGAGATGTAAGTTGAAATGCCGAAGGCAAGATATTGAATTAGTTGTAGTTTATCGCAGTCCAGAATGTGTAGCAGACGATTTTCTCCTCAGTAAACTTAAGTCATGGTGTAACAACGGTAAAAGCCTTGTAGTAGGCGACTTTAATGCACCATATATAAACTGGGTTAACTTAGAAGTAGAGTCATCTATATCGTCGTTCGACTCCAAACTGTTAGAAACCTCGATTGGACTAGCATTATTCCAACACATTAGAGATCCCACAAGATACGACTTAAGAAACTCTTCCTCTCTTTTAGATTTAGTCTTCACACACGGTGAGGACGTTGGTGAAACGGCTTTTCTCCCACCACTTGGGAGAAGTGACCATGCAGTCATCTTATTCAAATTCATGGCTGAAATTGCTTCTCAAAAAATTGCGCCGGCCCGTCCTAACATATGGAAGGCAGATATGCAGGCAATTGACTCCGCAGCATCGGCTGAGAACTGGGAAATTGACTCAAAGGCATCAGTACAAGAGGCATGGACTCTATTCAGACAGTTATACAATCGGGTAACTCAACCATATATACCCTGGACTGTCCCAAAGAAAAAGAAGCACGGACATCCCTGGTTAGGGCGGGATATTCGACGCTTACTAAGACAAAAGAAGAAATGCTGGGATGTTGCCATCCGCCTTGGCACAGCAGATACGATGGAACACTACAGATCGATAAGAAACGTGTGTATAACGAAAATTCGGGAAGCGCAAAGAAAATACGAAATGCAGCTGGCAGAATCTGCACTCAAGCAGCCCAAGAGGATATTCTCGTACATAAACTACAGAACAAGGACTCATCACTGGATTCCCAACCTAATTAAAGTAGGAAGTGAATCTGAAATGATAGAGGAAGATCAGGAAAAAGCTGAGATTATGGCTGACTACTTTGGGGCAGTTTTCACTCAGGAACCTCCTCTAGAGAAAGAACCAGACCCAATTACAGAGTCAACAAACCAGCTGCTCACCGTGGACTTCGACCAAAACGATGTGCTTAAGGCTCTTAGCACTCTAAACATGGAGAAGTCAACAGGACCAGATGAACTACACCCTAAAATCTTGAGACATATTGCCGAATATATCGCAGCCCCACTGACTGTGATATTCAAAATGTCACTTGACCAAGGTGTGTTACCTATGGACTGGAAGGACGCAATCGTCACTCCCATACATAAAACTGGTCTACGACAAGTTCCATCAAATTACAGACCCGTAAGCCTTACCAGTGTTGTTATTAAAATACTGGAAAGGATAATCAAACGGACCATAACAGCATTTATGGAAACCAATAACTTGCTGAACATGGCCCAACATGGTTTTAGAAAGGGTCTATCCTGTACAACGAACCTCCTTATAGCTAGGGAGCTCTGGATTAATGCGCTAGACAACGGAAACTCAGTGGATGTTGTCTACATAGACTTCAGTAAGGCTTTTGACAAGGTGCCAACTAATAGACTGCTATTGAAGTTGGCAAACCTTGGTATTGCCGGACCTCTTTTAAAATGGATTAAGGATTTCCTAGTAGGTCGTAGGCAAAAAGTAAGAATAAATTCCAAGTGCTCCATCTGGAGACCAGTACTTAGTGGAGTACCCCAAGGTTCCGTCCTAGGTCCTTTACTTTTTATAATGTACGTTAATGATCTTACAAGTATAGTACAGTCTCCAATGTTATTATACGCTGACGATGTAAAAATTTGGCGAGTAATAACTTGAGACACAGACGCATTTAGTCTTCAGGCGGACTTAAATAATATGATAAACTGGTCTAAAGAGTGGCTAATGCCTATCAACTCGGAAAAGTGTGTCTACATGCACTTGGGGGATTCAAAGGTTAATACGTACAACATAGGAGATGTGTCATTACCCGTAGTCCGGTCTCATAAGGACCTAGGGGTGACAGTGAGCAATGATCTTAAGACGACGGCCCATTGCCGGGAGGTCGCAGTTAAGGGGTTTCGAACCCTCTGGGCTTTAAAAAGGACATTCACTAAGCTTGATACTACCATGTTCACCACATTATACACATCCTTAGTGAGAACTAAGTTAGAGAACTGTGTTCAGGCTGCAAGCCCCTGTTTAAAAGGTGACTCAGACATACTAGAAAAGGTACAGAGGGCAGCTACGCGTGCGATTCCGGAACTCCGGGGTTTATCGTATGAAGAGCGGCTTGAAAAACTGAACCTCTTTGCTCTGTCCTATCGCAGACTAAGGGGAGATCTAATATTGATGTACAGAATACTGAGAAATGATTTCGGACCTAACTTATTCTCTCTCTTTCTTCCCACTAGGTCGGGACACCTCAGAGGACATAGTAGGCGAGTAGAAAAGCCAAGAACGAACAAAATACCTCTGGCATACAGGTTTTCACACCGAGTCATCAATACTTGGAACCTGCTGCCTGAAGCAGTGGTATCCGCACCTTCAATTGACTCTTTCAAGAGAAGACTGGACACCCACAGAAGCATACTAGAAAAGGAATAACATAGGCCGTGGGCCTTCTGTCCTTACTACACAAATCTGAATCTGAATCTGAGTAGTCACTCCTCACTGACTCCCCGAGGAGCACATAGATTTATATTTACCTGTCTGCCTCCTTCTTAGCATTTTCGGCCCTATTCCTTTCTTCAATCTGTCTGTCAAACCAGTTTTGTAACTGTTCTCGTTGATACTTCATTCTAGCCTTTAAATTCAAATCTTCACCATCAAACTTTTGAAGAGAGGCGACGCCACATCGAGGGTCATCATCAGAAACACGAGCAGGACGGTCTAACTTTAATGCATTGGGATCGTAAAGGTCAAATTCTCTTCTTGACTCAGGCTGCTGATGAACAGATCTGAATTCATTAAGATTCTTTGCGAGTTCTCTCTCATCGTCATGTTGTCGTTTCTCAAATAAGCACGCAATCTTGTCGTTGCGCGCTGCATCAGCAGCTAAGCCCCATATAAATAAACAATTATCAATTTACCATATGCTAAATCACGTTGTTTCTCGTCTAGATCTCGAAGTTTTTTCTCCTCCACTTGATGTTTAAGAGCTTCGTCATCAATCTGTAGCATAGTGAATTCAATTAACTTTTAGAAATTACTCCAATTTGACGAATACGGGAGTCAAAAATACGTGCTTGGCGCTCTTTCTCTCTTCTCCTTCTTAATTCAATCGCTGTTGCCTCTTTAGTATCTATCGGCAAATCAAGTTTATACATTGGAACCGACGGCCGTCAACTTTCGTAATCGTACCCTCTCGGTTGTTATAGTAATATGGTACATAACACTATGAGCAGTAGATATCATGATTTTGAATTGTCAGAATTATCTGCCTTTCAATATTCTTTACAATATTTCTGTTGTAAATAGTTGGGATGTTTGCTTGATGCGTGGATTTCCTCATTGTAGTTAGTCTTCATTGGATAATGGATTGATAACAACCACGAGTGACTGTCTATATTTTTAACTTACTGTTCAATGTATGAGATTCATACTCAAAAAGGGGTCGCTCTTATATCATGCCGCTAAACCATTTTGTCTAAAAGATGCTACAAATATTTAGGGTTTGACAAAAGTTTTGTCTGTAGGACATTAATACATAATAGACAACTCAGTCGGGTCAAAAGTCAGAGATGAATGAGTCCGATGATATATTTTGAAAGTTGCCAATACATTAAGAAGCATTTGATCCGGTCTGACCAGTAGTTCCAAGGTAGGCGGACGGACGAGAACCGGTGCTTTCAACGTGGTGTGGTCGTCGTCACAGACTATTCTCTCGTGATCTTGTGCGGATGAGTGAACAAGTATCTTTAACTAGGATATGTCCAGCTATAATTGTGAGGTCAGTATAAATATCAAAGATTTACAAGTTCATTCATCTGTGGGTTTATTTACTGCTATAGCTAATTCCTTCTTGGAGGGGTTGTGATGAATCTAAGACGCGATGAACCAGAAGTTTACACCCAGCAACCATGTCTTTGATAAACACTATTCTGATGGCTTGCTACGTTCAGCAGCATCTGGTTGTCTTTCTTTGGCACAAGGGGCTATATGGAACAATATAACAATAAAAAATGTACAATTAAAGTTTTGACTCATTGTATTGTTTGTCACTTTCTATCTTTTTCCGTCATCTGGGGAAAGGAAACAAATTAACATGTAAGTGCGTGTCGAAATACACTCGCAATAGCATAAGGATACAGAACGTGAGGAACCAATTCAGTATATGAGAGTATGCATACCAAGCGACAGCATGAACAATATTAAGACAAAAAAGGTTGCTTTTGGTTTTTTCCCCATAGGAAAAATAATGAACACATGTATAAGCATATTAGAGAAAGATGATATTGATGATGGCACAGGTATTCAGTGTTTGACAACGCTTTTACCAGCAACACCTTCTAATATAATTCGTACCCACCAAGAGAAATCAAAAGACAGAGTCGAAGAGGTCGGAAGAGTGTATTTGGCGATTACAAATATATCGGAATTCTCTGATCTAATCTGGCTAGCGATTGCGGTAGATATTGAGCACAGCGTTACCACACGTGATCTGGTGCGGATGCATGACCGAGCGTCTTCAGCAAGGTGAGTCCACTAAAACTAATCTGGTCAGCATCCAATGTCGAAAACTTACAGAGCTATTTATTTTGGGGATTTATTTACCGCTGCATATCACCCCCTCCCCTAGTAGGGTAGTGATGACCCTAAGACGTGGCCAGCCAGAAGTTTAAACCCAACGAGTTTTGTCGCTGGCACACACTCTTCTGATGGCTTGCTAGGTTTAGCAGCGTCTGGTCGTCTTTCCTTACTATATGGGACCGAGGTACAACATAGTAAAAACAGAAAAAGTACAATGAAAATTCCGGCTCCTCTTAAACTGCATCGTTCTTTTCCAGCCGTCCTGGAAAAGAAAAAAGAAAATGTAAGTGCATGTCGAAATACAATCGTATGTGCGTAAAAACACAATGTCGACGAAAAAAAAGGAAAATAAACTCAAGCACACGTAATAGCGTTAAAAAATTTTTTGTTTTTTGTTTGTTTTTTTGAAATAAAAAAATAAATATATAAGCATATTAAAATTGTTTTTTTTTAAATATTATATATCGTAAAAGAAAGATCGAGATAATGTAAAATGTCGAGTAGTGCCTTACGTGCAGTAGTCGTTTAAATGTTCTGGAAATCTTACTCATCTTTCAGAACGCGTCGTTTTAAGTTTGTTTTCAGACACATTCTGAGTATCATCGCTAGTGTTGGTTGTCGGTTGAGGAATTTTGAGTGAAGAAATCGCGTTGTGCGATTGTACCGAAGGAAAGTCGACGTGAATGGGATTTCCTTCTAAATACGCTGCTTTTAAGCGATCGATGCTGATGCTATCGTTTGTTCCGTTCTTGTCGACTATATAGTACTTAGATTCACGTTGAAGAACTTTGAAGGGTCCTTCGTATGCTGATTCGAATGGTAGTCGATGCGAGTCTCGACGAACGAAAACGTGTGTACTATATCGTAAGTCAGGTTGAATGAAAACATCGGTGGATTGCGGTCGAGTGGAAGCAGGTTTAACTGAACGCATTGCGTTTGTAAGCCTGTTCGTATAAGAGGTTAGATACATGTTCATTGAAGGAGATGAAGGATCCACGAATTCTCCTAGAAGTCGAAGTGTCGCTCCATAGACGAGTTGAGCCGCAGTGTATCCAATGTCAGCTTTCACTGCATTGTGGATACCTAGTAAGACGAGTGGAAGAGCGTCGGTCCACTGTGAAACGTTTGCAGCTGATAGTGAAGCTTTTATTATTATTATTATTATTATTATTATTATTATTATTCACAAACATCTTATGGGTACATAAGTGTTGTGAAGAAACCATTTCGGGTTTCTTCAAAAAATGCAATAATACACAATTTTCAATAATGTCAGCATTATACTTGCCATTAAAAAAACATTTAGAGCAGTAATAGTTGTCCATGAAAACGTTCTACCAACCCGTTTGCTTGTGGATGGTAGGCGGTCGTTCGGAAGCGAGTGATTCCTAAAAGTGTGGTCAGACGACGGAAAAGATTAGATTCAAACTGACGTCCGCGGTCTGTAGTGATGGTTGAAGGGCAACCGAAGTTTGCTACCCATCGTTCGACGAAGGTGCGGGCCACTGTTTCAGCAGTGATGTCCTTGATAAGTACTGCTTCTGGCCATCGAGTGAAACGGTCTACGCAGGTTAAGAGGTAAGTGTATCCATTTGAATCTGGTAACGGTCCTACGAAATCCAGATGAACATGGTCGAAACGAGCATCGGGAGTTTTAAACGAGCCTAAGGGACATTTATTGTGTCTGATGACCTTAGATTTTTGGCAGCTTACATAGGAGCGTCCCCACTCCCTCACGTCTTTATTCATTCCAGGCCAGCAAAACCGTTCTGCTATAAGCTTGATGGTTGCACGAACACCTGGATGAGAAAGTTTGTGCAATGTATTGAAGACATTGCGTCGATAATGTTTCGGCACGATCGGGCGATCCCTACTTGTAGATGTGTCACAAAGTAAGGTTTCGTTACCTGTTCCCATCTGTTTGATGCGTACTTTAAGGGTTGTAGACGATAACTTGTGCTGAAGATCAGTGTCTTCTTTTTGAAGCTCGGCGAGTTTAAGAAGGTCGATTCCTTGGAAACTGTTCAAGGAGGCCATGCGAGATAAAGCGTCTGCAACTACATTGTTTGCTCCAGAGATGTGTTGAATATCTGAAGTAGACTGCGAAATGTAGTCCAGTTGTCGAGACTCACGGGGAGAGTACTTGTCTGAAGGAGAGCTTATCGAGAAGGTGAGTGGTTTATGGTCAGTGAAAAGAGTGAATTCACGACCTTCGATGTAGTGTTGGAAATGCCGTACAGCACAATACATAGCTAGGAGTTCCCTACCGAATGTGCTGTACCTCGATTCGGTGTCTAGCAACCTTCTAGAGAAAAATGCCAATGGTTGCCAGGAGTTGTTAACCGATTGTTGTAAGACCCCTCCGATTGCCGAGTCGGGTGCGTCTACTGCGATACTAATGGGTACGCGGGTGTCCTAATGTGCGAACATTGTTGCTTTAGAGATGAGTTCCTTAATTGTGGAGAATGCTTTTCGTGCGATGTCGTCCAAATTAATGAATTTCGCATTTCCACGAAGTTGGTCGGTCAGAGGTTTCATGAGTAACGCGCATTTCGGTATGAATCGTCTACAGAAACTTACAAGGCCGTTAACCATTCATAGTTGCTCGATCGTGGTCGGTTCTGGGTAATCCAGAATGGCCGCCACTTTGGTTCTAAGGGGTCGAATGCCTTGAGCATCTATAGTGTGTTTTAGGAAGTTTAATGAGTCGGTTCCTAATTGGCATTTCTGAACGTTTACAGTAATGCCATGTTTTTGTAGTCGTTCGAAAACAAGATCCAGATGCTTGAGATGTGTTTCTCTGTCCGGACTTGCGATTGGGCAGTCGTCAACATACGCATGTACGAAGTTCAGACCTCGAAAAACGTCGTCTATGAATCGTTGGAATGTTTGAGCAGCGTTTCTTAGACCGAAAGGCATTCTCAAAAATTCATGGAGTCCGAAGGTAGTAATGATGGCGGTGTTCAGTATGTCGTCTGTGACCATGGGAATTCGGTTATACTCTTTGACCAAGTCGATTCTCGAAAAGACAGTTGTACCTTTCAAGGTAGCTGTCAAATCGTGAATGTGAGGCAACGGGTAACAATCGGGAATGGTTTTCACATTCAATCGACGATAGTCACCAGTTGGACACTAATCGTTGCTGTCCTTTTTAGGGACCATGTGCAACGGAGATGCATGTGGGCTATTTGACGGTCGTATGATTCCTAAGTCCATCATGTGATCGAACTCGTTTTTCGCCTACCTTAGCTTCTCAGGGACTAGTCGTCGTGCTTTAGAGAATACAGCTGGTCCTGTAGTTGTGATGTGATGTGTAACGTTGCTGGTTACACACGGCAGTTTCGGTTGCGTTTAATGAATCCCAGGGTACTTATCGAGTAGCGGTTGATAAGGTGGGTCTATCGTATTGTTAATTATGACTGGGGATAATCTGCAACCAGAAAAAGAAGTTACGCAAACGGATTATTTGGTGTTTCCGTCTACTAGCCTCCGCTTGCGCGTATCGATGATTAGATTATGGTGTTGTAGAAGGTCCATTCCAATGATTGGTATAGAAACATCTGCAACAACGAAGATC